ACGCGCCACCACCCGCGACACGGCCCCCGCGATCCGCGACAGCCCACACGAGCCGATGTCCCGATTGTACACGAGCATGACGTCCCGTTCGTGATCCAATCCAGTTCGTGTGATTGTGTACGGACATATGGAAGATCAGCTAGATCGCCAAAAATTTTAAGCCATAAGTTTTCTATGTCAAACCTTTCGATCCGTTGTGCATAAGTTTACGTTTGTTATTGAATTTGTGATTTGTACATAACGAGATCCTAATAGATCCCGACAGTTTGGATGCTTCTAATTTTCTTGACTGGTTGGGAGCCGTTGAGTCGGCTTTTGATTTCAAAGGTGTCCCGGATGACCGACGTGTACCCTTAGAGGTGACTCGCCTTCGTGGAAGAGCGACTACTTGGTGGTTACAATTGAAGGGTATGCGACATCGTCAGGGGAAGCGGATTCGAGAGTGAATCCTTTCCACCCGGGGAAGAAAGATGCCGACAAGATTGCATTAGCATATCTTGAGAGATATGATCGACTCGCTTCACTAGTTTGATTGATATTCTGCTTCTTACTATTATTATTATTATTATTATTATTATTATTATTATTATTATTATTATTATTTATGTTGTGTTGGGCTTGTACTATGTGGGCTTTTAAGTTTAGGTGGTTAGAACTTTGTATTAGTATTAAAACGTACGAGTGTTTCTTGATCTGGCAGTTATGTGATTATTGAATTGAGAAAAGAAAAGAAAAATGTTCTTCGTTGTTTTTGATTCTCTGTTCTTCCCATCACAGGATTCTAGTGCATCAATAACATAACATGAAATTTCAGGGGTGTACAAAAATCCGCGCTTAAACTAAAAATAGTGAATGTTCACGTAAAATTTTCGGAAGCGAATAAATAAAAACGAACATTCAGGAGAGCGTCTCAGTCTCCCTCAGAACTCTTTCATTAAGCAAGTGTTTGGCCAACATGTACAAATAGAATTTACACACATAAACTCCCTCTAAGCTAACCTACTTTGTACTCCCCCTACCTAACTATTTTTCTAGCCACGACGTGTACTTATGCTGCACGTATAGATCACTCCAAGCAGTATGAAGATGCTCGCCTCAAGCACCAAGTAGAACAGAAAAATAAAACTGACAGCTCAAATTACCAGCCAGGGGCGGGCGCAGACTCGTAAGACTGAAGGGGCACAAACGTAACCTCTCCGAAGTGCAAAGAAAAAAGATATTTATCTTTGCATATTCTGACATATTATATTCTTATATATTACATATGGGCACCATAGAATTTCTGATCATATCACTCATAATTATATAAATTCAAATCTCATTAAATATATCTTTTTCAAATACCAACATTTTTTTTTTTTTTTTGCATTCGATATTCTTACAACGTCAGCATTCGTGGACTTATTATTTATAATAAAAATAAATATTTTATTAGATACAAATCAATACAAACATAATTCTTTAATTAATTTTAAACTTATAATTTTAGGAACACGTAAAGTTCAATGTATCAAAATTAATGTTCAGTTTTGTAAAAAATCGACTAAACTCATTTATATATGTTCCCTATAACATAATACAAATACAAAATGTAAACAACTTAAATTTTAAAAATATCTCTTAATACTTATTTTACAATATAATTATATATGTACTATTTTTTTTTTAAAAAAAACTTGCACAGGGGCCCGTAGGGGCACGGGCTTTTGCTTGGGTCTGCCCCCTGTTACTAGCGATGAACCTTCATGCTGGAATCCGATCACTCTATAAAATATAATCCAAAACTCACGAGCTCTCAATGAATATAACTCTAAACTCTTCGAATGAATAATGGAATGACTCGTTCTCCACAAGAACTCGTGAAACTAATATATATAGACTATATACGATATGCAGGTTTATAAAAAATCTGAAGTTTTCAAATTTACTTGATCTTCTCGCTCAACTTTTGTAGATCATGATGCTCGAATATCTTGCCCAAATCTTCCAAATTTAACCGTGTCTCTCACTTCAATCCTGTGAACTTTCTTTCCTTATTTCCACGCGAACCTTCGCAAATATCTACTTATCCGATTTCTTTCCTTTTTGTGCTCAATTTTTCAGCTTTCTTCGTCAAGATTCCAGCTCTCAAATCTCATAGGCATATCTTCCTTATATCATTTTTGTCCTCCCTTTTCCTACAAGTAAAAGAAGACAATTAAATAAATAACATAACATGTAGTAAGAGAATATCAAAATAAAGAAAATGAATATATATAAAATCTTCTGAATCTAATATATTTCCTTTACCTATAAGCTAAAGGAAGATAATTAAATCCAAATAACACAATAAAAGAATAATTAAAATATAGAAAGTTAAGATGAGAAGATCTTCCCTTTCTCTTCAAGGATTAATTCCATGTTATATATTTCAAGAAACACAAATATGATAAATAAAAAATATTTTTGATTAATGTCAGATTATATATTCTTACAGAACAAAATCACTCGACAATTTGAAAATAACACATGCCCAAAGCAACAAATTATCGAGATAATGTGAGGAGATGCATCTAGAGAAAAACAAATACGGCCTAACGGAGACTCCCATTTTCACCTGAGAGGACCAAACCGCACGGTGACCGTGGCATTTTCCTTAGCTTAGCCGAGAGGCGGCACCGCCGCCGATGAGGGAGAGTGTTTGAAAGGAAAATGGTGATATTAACCTTCTAAATTTGAAAGGAAAATTAGAACTTGGAAGAGTGTCTTTTTTACCTTAGAAATGTATTTTTTATACTTGTTTACTGTTCCATTTGAAAAATTCTTGCAAAACACTAGGAAATATAGTTGAAAAAAAAACAATCAAATAAAATAATATAAACAATAAATATTAATTTATTTGTAATTAATATTTATTTTTTTATTTTTTGTAAATGTTTGTGCAAATAAAATGAGATTTATATGTGGGTGGATGTTGTATGTGGATTGAGTAATGAAATTTGTATTTGGATACAGTATTTTTCTCCTATAAAGGAAAACTATTAACACATGCAATCAAAGCTAAAAGCAACCATTTGCCGCCCTTCTGGTCCTACCCGGCTCGATTCTAGATTAGTCGGTTCCCCTGTGGATCCGGAAACCGGAAGGTTCCTGTACCAAAAAAAAAAAAAAAAAGCTAAAAGCAACCAGTTGGCAAACAAAGGCCATGAATAAAAATCCTTTCACTAATAGAAGCCAAATTCAAACTTATTTGAAGCATACAATACATGTAACCCATCACAAAAACACATTATTCTGAAACTCAGGTTTTCCTGGGCAAAACTCAAAATGGCAGAACATGTCTTTCTTGTTGGACTTTCTGGAAGACTATTGATTCCTCGGCCGCAAACGGGCAGATGCTTTGGAGGGATGTATTGCCATTGCAGCCCTATGAGGCAGAGGATATGACCAAATCCCATATAGTCGATCAAGTTCAAGCTGCGTTCTCGAGTCACGGAAATAAATTCAGTCTCATTGATTTTCTTGACTGCTCTTTGTACAGCCACACAAACTCATGCTAAAAACATTGGTAATTTTAGGTTACATGCTAGAGCACGTGCACGATGGGAAACAAGAAAACTCGTCAAGCTACAATTTCATTTCACGGCTCGAGAAAGCAGTCGTGACTCGTGATTTAGGATTTCACGATAAAGACACACTCTTCTTTCGATCCCAAACCTGGAACCCGCCATTAACTTACATTTTCAAGCTCAATCAACCCAACAAACACATTTAAAGAGAAGAAATTAGCATCAACCACACAAATAAATTGAGACACGTCCAAACATATTAAGGACAAGTCAACAATAAACTGAAGCGTTCACGACAGGACAATGATGATCTTGGATGAAACTGGGAAACACATAATTAAAGCAGGGACCAACTAACCAGCTGCTACTCGAGCGAAGGACATTTCGTCACCACAGTTGCCCCATGATGCTCGTTGTTTGCCACATCCGACAGACGAAGCTCGCTTCTGTGAAAATCTGCTGGAAGGCCTCTGTAGACACAAGTGCAGTGTGGGTAACTTGATAAAACTTTTACACGGTAAAAATGGTCAAGACTTTTACACTGGAAAACTAATAACATAAAATCAACATTGATCATAGCAACAAGCACCTTACATTTCGGGTAAAGAACTGAAACAAATCAAAAGATGATGGTTTTAACGACACGTCTAACCCCAACGGCATGTTCAATCTACCAAAACTTAAAAAAGAAAGAAAGCCAACAACCAGATCACAATCCACCAGACTCCATATCAACTTTAATGATCAACTTTAATGATAGGGCTACAAATGCGTTCAAGCTCCCTCCTCTTAAGGTTGAACTCATCCACACTGGCCTTCATCCAATTCTCCCCCACCCACTCAATAATCGACACAGCCGCATCCTCCACCATTGTCCGGTCGGCCGCCGCCAGCCCGATTGCAGCCCTGACCGTGTTCCTCACATTATAAGCGTAATTTTCGAGGCTGCTTCTAGCTTTGGCCCTCCTCGCAAACTCTTCGTCCTCCGCCCTGTACCTAGCGGCATCACAGATTATCCTATCAATCTCCTCTTTCGACAGCCTCCCTTCTTCGTTGGTTATAGTGATCCCGTTCGTATTGCCCGTCGACCTCTCCTTGGCCGACACGCTCAGTATCCCATTGACGTCAATTTTGAAGCACACGTCCAGTTTGGGTATTGCCCGTGGGGCAGGTTGGACCCCATCCAGTGTGAACTTCCCTAACAGATTGTTGTCTTTTGACCTCGCCCGTTCGCCCTCGTATACAAGGAATTGCACAGATGTCTGGTCATCGCAAACCGTGGTGAATGTATGCTGCTTATGCGTGGGGATAGTCGTGTTCCGCGGGACCACGAAGCTCATGACATCCCCAAGAGAGTCTATTCCGAGGGAGAGAGGGGTCACATCAAGGAGGACGAGGTCCCGCACCTTGTTGTCCTTTATGCCGCTTAGGACGGCAGCCTGCACGGCAGCCCCGTACGCAACAGCCTCGTCCGGGTTAATGCTCCTGCACAGCTCCTTTCCCTCGAAAATAAACTGCAGCATCTGCTGAACCTTGGGAATTCTGGTCGAGCCTCCAACCAGAACAACCTCATGGATGACAGTTTTGTCCACCCCAGCGTCTCTCAGGCAGCTCTCGACGGGCTCGACACACTTTTTAAACAGGTCCATGTTGAGATCCTCGAATCTAGCACGGGTAATGTTAGAGTGGAAATCAATGCCCTCGTGCAGACACTCAATGTCCACAGCGGTCTGAGTGTTGGTCGATAGAATCCTCTTTGCCCTCTCGCCGGCGGTCCTCAGCCTCCGTAGTGCTCGGGGATTTTTGGAGAGGTTCTTGCCGTACTTGCGCTCGAACTCGGCGGCAAAGTGAGCTACAATGCGGTTGTCGAAATCCTCCCCGCCAAGGTGGGTGTCACCAGCGGTGGCCCTCACCTCGAAGGTACCCTCATCAATTGTGAGGAGGGAAACGTCGCAGGTGCCACCACCCAAGTCGAAGACAAACACATTCTTCTTCTCTCCCCAGGAGGAGGCGTCTGCCTTGTAGTCGAGGCCATAGGCAATGGCTGCAGCAGTGGGCTCGTTGATGATGCGGATGACATTGAGGCCGGCAATGGCACCGGCGTCCTTGGTGGCCTGTCTCTGAGAGTCGCTGAAGTAGGCCGGGACAGTGATGACAGCATCCCGGACAGTGGTGGGGCCCAGAAAAGAGTCTGCAATGGCGGCCATCTTGGTGAGGACCATGGACGATATCTCCTCAGGGGGGAATCGCTTCTCCTCGCCCTTGTAGGAGACCACAATCATGGGCTTGTCCGTGAGGCCCGGGACAACCTTGAACGGCCACAGCTTTATGTCGGCCTGCACAGTGGTGTCGCTGTATCGTCTCCCGATCAGCCGCTTGGCATCTGCACCACCCAGGCAGAGTATGTTTGTTTCATAATATGAACTAATAATACCAAATTACCAATATCAACACACCACACATATTACCAAGTTGCTAACACTACTATGCAACTGAAATTCAAAGAAAGAAGCTCACCGAAGATGGTGTTGGCGGGATTCACGCCGGCCTGGTTCTTGGCGGCTTCGCCGATGAGACGCTCGCCGTCGACGAAAGCAACGTAGGACGGCGTCGTGCGGTTTCCTTGATCATTGGCTATGATCTCGATGCGGTTGTGCTGCCACACGCCGACGCACGAGTAGGTGGTTCCCAAATCAATCCCGATTGCCGGCCCCTTACCTTTTCCGGCCATTACTGAGTGGAAAAAGTTGAACGAAAAACTTGCATAAACAATGTCTAACAAACTGGTAATCAGCACTCGCCACCCCATTCAAGTGTCCAACTCCGTACATACTTTTATAGGGTATCTTTTTTCAGATACCTTAGCGAGAAAAAGAGAATTCAAATATATGGAGACTATCAAATTCAAATTTAAATAAGATTGCATTTCGATATTTTTATTATTATCTATATCTCTTTATATATTTAAAAAAATAGTATTTTAATAAAAAAATATTGTAAATAAAATCCCAACTATCATTGTTGTCTCGGTCCAATGATCTATATAATACTAGTAGAAAATGTTCTCTTAATAAGCTATGGAAATCTTTCTGCATTTTTATTTTTTTTTTATATAGTAATTTTTTCTAAAAAATAAATTGACATAAATAATATAATCTAAATATATATGGAAAAAATTTTAACAAGTATATTTTTACCATATTCGAAAATTTTTCGTTTATCCTCATTTTCTAGGTCAAAATCCACATTTTTTTCGAATATAAATATATCATTGATAATCAAATGTACTTATCAAAATCAACATTTTTAACCTTCAAAATTTGTTCAAGATATAATTTTTTTTTTTTTTTTTTGGTACAATAAAAGAGGCCGAGGCCTAGTCTAAGACTTGCCGAGGAGACGAGACTCCCCGCCTATCATGCGCAATCCAAGAAGCTAATTCCGGAGGAGGAGAAGATAATATATGAAGACCGGGCGGGTACGAATACGCGAGATGGGCAACGAAGTCTGCCACACTATTCGCTTCTCTATACACAGGTTGAACCTTAACCTCCCATTCTCGACAAAGAATATCATGAATGTCGCGCACTAGATCACCGTGTTGACCAACCTCCCCATCTGAGGAATTCACCATTCGCGTAACACGTAGATTATCAACCTCAATCACCACCCTCCGGAAACCTCGGTCCCACGCCAATCGCAGCCCGTGTGTCAGACCCAACAGCTCCGCCTCCAAAACCGTACCTACTCCAATATTCATAGCAAAACCGCCGGACCAATGTCCCAATTCATTCCGGAGAAGCCCGCCCGCACTACTCCAGCCCGTATGCCTATTAACCGATCCATCAATGTTAACTTTGATCCACCCGACTTCCGGAGGGATCCACTTTACCAATCGAGTCTCGTACACATTCGCCCCCACCTTTCGATAATCCGTCGCGGCTCGTATATAATTCTCGCTATCGTGCAGCACCATCTGAGACATCACAACCACGTTAGGCACATTATCCGAGAACACTCGATCGTTCCTCCAATTCCATAGTCGCCACACCGACACCGCGAAAAGGCTGCTCCAATGGGCCACATCACCCAGTCGAGATTGCGTAAGGTTTTGTCGCAACCAGCCGACCAGTTCAGTCCCAAAAAAGTCCGACCTCGCAGCAGTCGGAAGTAGCCGTACCCAAAGCCGCTTAGCCTGTGAGCAGTCCCTCAAAACGTGGAGGACCGTCTCCTCGTCACCACAAAGCTCGCAGGTCCCAGATGTCGATATATGGCGGCGAAAGCGTTCAGAGTTAGTTAAAAGCCGCTGCTGCACGGCAAGCCAGAGGAACATACGGACTCTTTGTGAAGCTGGAGTGCGCCAAATAAGACGCCACAATCGGGGGGCCAGGTCCTGGTTACATGGCGATAGAGACTGATAAGCGGACTTGGTCGTAAAATTCCCATCCTCAGATGCCGCCCACATAATGCGATCAGCTCTAGCCATCGGGTTGGGGGGTTGAGTTCTGGCAATGTGTGATAGTACCGAGGGCGGCAAAACCCCATGGAGGCAATCCCATTTCCAACTCCCGCGATCATCTACAAGATCCGCCACTTTCGCACCAACGTTCGCCACTCGTTGAGGGTCCGAGACTTTCGTGATCAAAACGTCTTCCGTCCCAAGCCATGAGTCGAGCCAGAAACGAGCCATGTCTCCTTTACCCACCTGCCACCGAATTCCGCTCAAAACTTTTGGCCACACCGATCGGATGGCACGCAGTAAGGGGGAACCATCGCGCCGCGTGATGTAAGTCAGCCCGCCGGAAAAATCCAATCCATATTTGGCCTTAAAAACCTGTACCCATAAAGCTTCTGGCCTTGTCAGGAGGTTCCACCCAAGCTTCATTAAAAGCGCCTCGTTCATACGGCGAAGATCACGTAATCCCAGGCCACCCTCTTCGCGTGGTTTGCAAACATCTTTCCACGCTACCAGATGCACCCTTCGGCGATCGCAAGTGCCCCCCCACACGAAAGCGCGGGAGCGTCGGGCCAATCCCTCAGAAGTCGTGCTTGGAAGAAGACTCGTTTGCATAGTGTAGTATGGTAAGGTATTTAGAACGGATTGAGTAAGAGTCACTCGGCCGGCTAAAGAGAGTGATTTCATGCGCCAGCCGGCCAACCGCGTTTCTGTTCTCTCCACAATATGGGAAAATGTGGATCGAGTGACTCGTCCATGGATAATTGGGACACCCAAGTACTTCCCGAGGTTATCCGTCAAGGAGAAGTTCAAGGCCGAGGCTAGCCGCTGTTGCTCGTGAAGCTGGACATTGTTCGAGAAGAAGACCTGTGTCTTTGCGGCGCTCACCTTGAGACCAGAGGCGGTACAAAAGAGATGGAGAATTCGTGAGAGGACACAGACCTGGTCATCAGAAGCCTCCATGAACAGTAACAAATCGTCCGCAAACATCAAAAATGGGACCTGGACCGCGCCCCTCCCCACGGAAATCGGTCGCCATTCGCGAGCCTCAACAGACGCACAAATTAACTGCGCCAGCCTATCCATACACAACACAAAGAGGTAAGGAGAGATAGGGTCCCCCTGTCGCACTCCCCGAGTCGGCGTAAAATCGTCCCCGATAGCCCCATTCCACAACAAGTTCATGGAGGCTGACCGAACACAAGCCATGACGGCGGAAACAAAGATCGCTGGGTAACCGGCTAGTTGAAGCGTTTCCTCCACAAAAGACCATCGAAGAAGGTCGTATGCTTTTTCAAGATCCACTTTAACTACCATAAAGCCTGTCGCCCCTTGCCTCCCCCTCATCGAGTGGACAATCTCTTGCGCCACGATAATATTATCCGTAATGTGACGACCAGGAACAAAACTAGCCTGGGCTGGATGGATGAGACCCGGAAGAGTATGTTTCATGCGGTTCACCAAAACCTTAGTGAAAATCTTATAAACCACATTAAGAAGGCTAATGGGTCGGAATTGTTTAATCGACATGGCGTTGTCCACCTTGGGGATAAGCACTAGAAGCGTACGGTTCACCCATCCCGGAACCACGCCCGATCTCCACATCCGTCGGAGAAAAGCGCACACGGTAGGCCCCACTATGTCCCAATGCTTCTGGTAGAAAAGCGCATTCAACCCATCTATGCCCGGAGCTTTCAACGGGCCCATATTCTGCAGAGCTTGAAATACTTCCGCATCCAAAATGTCATGTGTCATGGCCCGAGCCCTAGAAGCGTTACTGGCGGGGAAGGCGGTCTCGAATAGGCGCCCTCCAACAGCAGGCGACTCCTCCGTGTAGATTTTCGCAAAATACCCTGTGGCCAAACGGCTGAGAGCCTCAGAGTCGGTCACCCGGGAGCCATCCTCAGTAATCAGCTCTGTAATGTTGTTACGCCGACGACAGTGCTTCACCTGGCGGTGGTAGTAGGAAGTATTCCGGTCGCCTAGAAAATTCCAATCACGCGTAGCCTTCTGAATCAGAAGAAGTTCTTCCTGCCGAATAACTTCCGCTAATTCATTGCGGAGTCGCGCTTCGAGGCCCCGAAGGTGGGTGGATTGGTAGTACCGAGTGCATCGCTGGATACCGCGGATACGAGCCAGCAGGCATTTCTTCCGTCGAAAGATGTTACCGAACACCGTGGTGTTCCACTCCCGGACCTGGTCAGTGAACTCAGTTGCGGCCTCCTCAAAATCAGTCGAAGACCCCCACACTCTTTCGACAAGATTCTTGAAACCTGGGTGGAGCATCCAAGCCGCCAGGAATCGAAAGGGCTTCACTCCCCGCGGCGGTATGCGGTGATTGCCAAATTCAAGAAGGAGAGGCGAATGGTCAGAAAGAAGCCTTGGGAGGAGACGAACCCGGCTTCTATCAAACTTCTCCAGCCAGGGAGTAGTAGCCACAAATCTATCTAATTTCTCAGCCACCCGGCCCTGGCGAGTCTCACGCACCCACGTGAAGGCATGCCCGTCAGTTGCAACCTCTTGAAGGCTGTAGTTTAGCATCCAGTCGGCGAAATCCCGACTAATGTTACAAAATCTCGTCGAGCCTCCTATTTTCTCCGATAGTCGAAGAAGGCAATTGAAATCACCCCCAATGACCCAGGGATCCGAGATACCTTCCGCAATGCGAGATAAGGCATGCCATAAGGTCCGTCGATTCATCGAATTTGGACTAGCATAAGTGAAAGTGACAAGACTCACCACCCCCGCCGAACATAGTCGGGCGTGTATATATTGGCGGGAGTACTCAAGGATGTCAAGTTGAACTTCATCTGTCCAGAGGAGCCAAATACCCCCTGAAAAGCCTTGCGCTTCCACCCGGAAAGAATTCCCAAATCTACTGTGTCGCACGAAATTATTTGCTTGTAAACCCCCGATGCGAGGTTCTAATACGACAAAGATATCTGGTCTATAATGTTGAAGGAGGGTAGAGAAAACTCCCCGAAACTCGGGCGAGCCCGCACCCTGAACATTCCAAATAATTTACTTCATGGGTAAAAACTGAGAGTTAAAGCGATCGACACCCACTCTACTGCAGGAATGACTAGTCATGATCCTCCGTCATCACGTCCATGCTCGTATTCTCAACCATACATTCTACCGCGGTCGGAAGTGAGGGGTTTTCCTCCGGCCACGGCTCAAGGTTCCTTCCATGAATTTCATCCTCATGCATCTGACAGTTCTCAAAAGGAGGTGGCATATAGTCGTCCACTATGGTAACTGCTTTGTGCTTCGTT